GCTTGCATCCATTGTTTCGGGTCCTAGCCCCCAGAATTCCATAGCATTGAGCCAGGGCACTTAAAGTGGTCTCAAACTGGATTCTTTCTGCAGTGCAGATGCAAACCCTGGTTTGCTACCAGCTTCCTCCCTTGCAAGGCCTAGCTTTTCAGTAGATGGAAAGAGTGATGGCTTTTAGGTGAGTAGTCCTCCATCTGCCCAACAATAGGACAACCCTTGGCACATGCAGAGGAAGCCATCTTGTGGGAAATGGGAAATCAGAGAATGGAGCCAGATAGGACTTCATCCAGGCAAGGCTGAAGGCCAGCCAGGAAACACTCATGTTCTTCTTGTTGGGGACAGCCAAAAGCATTCCTATTGGGGAGTCCCTCCTATATTTGGGGAGTCTTTCCTGCCTAAGCAAGGCCACCCTTGAGACATTTTGCTGCCTGTGGAAAAGGGCTTAGATGACACCTCCTTCATTTTATGTATAGAAGCTGAATGGATGGACATAGAATCATCAAATCTTAGAATTGGAAGGGGCCACCTCTGTTTAAAGACCTCCAAAATTGGAGAGTCCACCACCCTTTGCAGGGAGTCTATTCCATTGTCCTGACAGCTTTTACAGTCAAGAAGTTCTTTCTAATGTTTAAGTCAAGAGGTTCGTATAGTCAAGAGGTTCTTTAAGTGGAATCTCTTTTCTTTCACTTTGAATCCATATGTAGAAGAGGGAGCTAGCTTGTTTTCTGCTGCTCCAGAGACTAGGACACAAACCAATGGATTCAAATTACAAGAAAAGAGATTCCACCTGAATATTAGGAAGAACTTCTTAACTGTAAGAGCTGTTCAACTCTGGAATAGTCTCCCTCGGAGGGTGGTGGACCCTCCATTTTTGGAGGTCTTCAGAGGCAGGATGGGCATCTTTCAGGAGTGCTTTAGTTGTGTATTCCTGCATGGCACGCGGTTGGACTAGGTGGCCCTTGTGGGCTCTTCCATTTTTAAGATTCTATGCTTCTATGACTTCAACTCCCATGCTGGCTGGGAGATTTTGGGAGCTGTAGTCCAAAAACATTAACGCTTCTAAGCTCTGCTCAGGAAAAGAGTTTGGAGAATTTTTATCACCAGCATTGAGCTAGAGATATGCAGCTAAATGGCTTTAAAAATGATCAGCGTGCACTTGCACAGCGAAAAGCCATTCCTTAGCAGAGACAACATGCAGACAAAGAAACCAATTTGTGAGAGAGAGGTTGGAAATGTCTTGCGGTGTTCTGTCCCAGGATGGTGGAAATGAATCATGTAACCCAAATAAATAATCATCCAGCGTACAAACACACAACCATAGCCGGTTCCCCTTGCTGCCCGTGTTCATGTGTCTAGCAAAGCAGGCAGTGAATTTAATGGCAATGGAGCCTATTAGCAAGACAAATGAAATCTGTTCTTCCCATCTTTGCAGGCAATAGAAGGGTGTTTAGAGGCCCTTGTGGACTCAGAAGCTCTGTGAATTGCTTTACCAGCTCATTTCATTCTTTGTCTAGCCCAGCATTGGGCAAAGTGGGGCTCTTTTGAGCTACTGTCATACTCTCAGCACCCAGCATTCCTCAATACTGGCTAGGATGCCTAAGGTTGATGGGACTCATAGTCCATCAACATTTAAAGGACCACATGTTTTCCCCCTCAGTCTAATTTGGTATCAAACAAGTAGAAGTGGGTGATTCCAGTATCAATGATCTGTTAAATCCACTCTCGTACTGTAAATCATACTGTATTTTTAAACACATGTTTTAACAGTTATGGGCCAGCCTAAGTTGTGAGATGCACATGGCACTTCATGTCTCTAGGCACTTCATTCCCTGCATCTGATGAAGCAGACTTCAGTCTATGAAAGTTTATACTAGCAACTTCTTTCAGTCAATCTCAAAGGTGCTGTAACCAAGATCCCTTTGCAAACTGGTCCAGGTAGCATGGCAATGTCTTTAAATTCTATGCACACAGAGGGAGTTTGTTGGATGATGCACAATAGCTGTATCTAGTTGACAGTGCTGTAAGAAGAATTGCATATGTGGGACTTTTATGCATGGGGTAGTGTAAAGTATACATAACAAACCTTCTGCCATGCAGGAACACATAATCAAAGTATTCCCGACAAATGGTCATCCAGCCTCTGCTTGAAAGTGTCCAAAGATGGAGACTTCTCCTCCCTCCGAGGCAGCATCTTCCACTTTTGAACAGCTCTTACCATCAGGAAGTTCTTCCTAATGTTGAAGCTGAATCTCTTCCCTAGTAGTTTGAATCCATTGCTCCAGGTCCTATTATCTGGAGCTGCAAAAAAAACAAGCTTGCTCCATCCTCAACATGACATCCCTTCAAATATTTAAACATGGTTGACATGTCACCCCTTAACCTTCTTTTCTCCAGGCTAAACATACCCAGTTCCCTAGGCCACTTCTGATACAATGTGGCTTCCATGAGAAATGAGCCACTTTATTTCTTATGTTGGTTTTTCTCTTCCTTCCTTCCTGATAAAGAAATCTAGGTCATCCACACCTTTCATAACCTTTCTTTGTTCTTGAGGGATGACTTTGACTGATTCCTTAATAGTGGTACATAAGGGAATGATCAAGTGTGTCTCTGTATTTCTAGCATATCCCAGTTTAGTATAGCCTGTATCATAGTCCACCAGACAAGCTGAGAATTGTCCTGCCATCCTTCTCAGGTCAAGAAGCAGCCCTGGCGGAAAGGGGCAGGGAATCCCTCTGGGCTCACTCTCTTCCTTCCACAATTGGGGAGTGAAGCCACCCACTTCTGCAAAGGAGCCAGGAGAGTTAGCCATTCCTTGTCCTTCCTTCCTTCCTTCCTTCCTTCCTTCCTTCCTTCCTTCCTTCCTTCCTTCCCCATTCACACCATGAAGTCTTTCTCTGCAGGCATAAATTCCCCTACAGAATCAGTTGCACATTTTTAATTACTGTTATTTAGTTTGCTTGTATGTTTGGGGGGATGGGCGGGTGGGTGAAGGAGGGACGGGATTTAATTTGATGTATTGTTTTTAAGTTTTGTAATGTTGTACGCCGCCCCGATTGCCTGGCAGAGGGGCGGGATATAAATAAAAATTATTATTATTATTATTATTATTATTATTATTATTATTATTATTATTATTATTATTTTGTGTGGCAGGGAATGTCTACACGCAGTTCCACCATGGAAGCTGGAGTGGCACACGTAGTGCCATTTGCACATGTGAATGTGCTTTTAGTTGTGCATTCAGTTGCACAATGCGTTGCCTTTCAATGCAAGAATGGAGTAGCACATAAAGCAAGCCTGCCAAGATGAGGGCCATAAAACCTTTTTGTTATTTTTAAAAAATGTATACCAGTTTTATAGGAATTTGGTGTTCCAAAGCCAGAAACGACCTTTAGATTTGCTTCATCTTTGTACAGCTTTTGTCACAATTTCCTTCATCGTTTCTGTGTTGTGATTTCTTTCTTGTTGATGTTGTGAGCCTTCAAGTTTATGACTTATGGCGACCCTATCAAGGGATTTTCATAGCAAGATTTGTTCAGAGGAGATTTGCCATTGCCTTCCCCTGAGGCTGAGAGAGTGTGAATTGCCCAAGGTGACTCAGTCGGTTTCATAGCAGAGCTGAGAATTGAACCCTGGTCTCTAGAGTCATAGTCCAACTCTCAAACCACTAAACCACACTGGATCTCATGTTATAATACATGTCTGAATGAAATGATCCTGCAAAGCATGATCCTACAAAGAGTAAGAAAGTTTCATAGACTTTCAAAACACTTTATGCCACTGACATGAAACACAAAAATCCATTGAAAAGCACACACACACACACAAAAAAATCACACTGGACCATCGGTGTCCACACTCAATCAAAGGTGAGTAACAACCAAATTGATAAAAATATCACATTTGTGAAAGAGCTGTTTGTATTACGACATTTTTACTGTGTTTTTTTTAATTCAGCATCCCCAAATAGATTAAAAGCAGTTTTTCATCACAAGTTTGTGGAATCCATGTACAAGTGTACATGTACAGATTCTGTTGCACAATGTTGCCCATCAATGCAAGGATGGTGTTGTGCACAAGTGATGTGCAAATCCTCACGTGGTGATTCGGTAGCACCATGTTGCCCTTCAACACAAGGATGCTGTTGTGCATCGTGATTGTGCAACTCCACCTGTGGCAATTCAGTTGCACAGTGTTGCCCTTCAAAAAAAAGAGAGATGGTTTTGTGCCTTAACAATGTGCAACTCCACATGTGCAGAGTCACAGTTGCACAAGGTAGCTCTCTAACACTATGATGATGTTGTGCATAGCTAATGCATAACTCCACATCTGGAGCTTAAGTTGCACAATGTTGCCTTTCAATGCGAGTATGGTGTTGTGCATAATCAATGTGTGACTCTGCATGTGGAGATTTATGCTACACACCCTGGAAGTGGAGTCTCAGCCAATATCTCATGTTGTAGTGACATTTCTCTGTACACATGAACTGCAAACATTCACCTGCAAGAGTTGTCTCACCAGTTAGTCACACTGTTCTCTCTTTTGCACAGTTTGGAGGACAACCAAAAGCCTATGACCTCACTTCTCATACAATCTTGTGATTTAAGAGGAGTCAAGAATTGCCATGGAGGAAAAGCGTGAATAAAAAATAGGGCACCCGTACCCCGACTCTAGCTTAATGAAAAGGAGATTTATTAAATATTTGAGGCAATGCAATCTGCCTTTTGCAGCAATAATATTTAACAAACAGAGCTATGGACAATTTAAATGCAACGATTCCCTACCGCCAGTGCTACATTTGCAAAAATATAGTTGAAATAAATCAAGAAAAGAGGCATTAAAGGCAACCAAAGATCTGTAAACAGGAATTAAATCAAGTGTGGAGAATGTCATAAATACTTCAAGCCTCCCTGAACCCTCCCTGCTCCCCCCAATGCAATCTCTGAGGAGCAGGGTGCAGAATGGCCTTTTGCATAAAAATGTTTTAATTGCTTTTCCTGGAATGCATAATGAGAGAATCATGAGAAAGAGGAGTCGGAGCAACCCGGCGCCCAGGCTTGAGATGCAAAGAGTGACAGTTTGATAACCAGATCTGCTGTTCCAGGCAAGACGCTATAGGATCAAATATGGGTGGCAGACAAACTCTGACATCAGAGATGACACCATTAAAAGAAATCCATCTTTTCAGAACAGTCTGCCACTAACCTTAAAGGAGCCCTACCAGAGCAAAGAAACTTAAAAGGCTGCAGTTTAGTGAGACATTGGCTGCATCAGCAATGCAGAAATAATCCAGTTCGACACCACTTTAACTACCATGGCTCAATGCTATGGAGTTCTGGGAATTGTAGTTTCTTGCGGCACCAGAGCTCTTCTTCGTCAAAGATGAAGGCATTCTGACCTCCTTAAGGAGAGAATGCCAATGCCTGGGAGCAGCCACCTAGAAAGCCTTTTCCTTTCTTCCCACCAAATGACCCAGAGAAGGGACCTTAAGACTTTAATATCTACTGTGAATGCCCAAGAAGATGGCATCTCCCCTGCTTTTACCATCCCAGGAAGATAGGAAAGCAAGATATGCTGAGATCTTTATGGGCCATCATATTTAGCTGAAGTCCTCTCTTTGGTTAAAGGTTGGATCAATCTGGTTTGGGTTATCCTCACAATAGAGCTAGATGGTCACCAGGCATGGTTAATTTAGCTGTGGATTCCCATACTGGCAGGGGACTGTGATAGATTATTTTCTGGGAGCTTTTCAAGTCTAAAGTTCTATGGTTCTGTAAGAACGGTTGAAGTCAAATGTCTGTAAAGCCAGGGTGCAGCTTGGGAAATTTATTCTCTTGGGAGGCTGCAAGTCTGCAAGCATGGCCAATGCTCATGCTGTCTGGAGGATACTGGGAGCTCAACAAAGAAACTTCTCCAGGATCACATCAGACCAGGGATCCAAATGGAGTTATGTGCTTTGGAGAGATGTGCTTTGGACTTTTGGCAAGGAGGGGTCAAATTGGGACGCCCATAAAAATTGAATGTGCCGGACATCTTGAGGTGTGGAACATTTCTGATGGAGATGCAGGTCTCTTTTGGAAATTTGAAGATTTTCCTGCCAGCAACCAGCAGAGGCCACTCTTACCCTTTGATAAAACACACAAGGCACATCTGCAAACATCAGATCCAGACAATGGTTTGGCAAAAGCGAGAGACCACTGGCCATTCAGAACTGTAGATCTGTGTCTCAGTTACTGGCATTTTTTGGGGTGGGAGGGCTGTAAAGAAAAGGTCTCCCTGAGAACCTAAGTGTATACAACCCCCTTTTTGGGTGCGTTTTCATGGACAAAGCTAATATTGTGTGTCTGTGTGTGTCTTCAAGTCGCCTGTTGATGTATGGTGACCCCATACATTTCGTAGGATTTTTTTATATTATTTTTGGCAAGGAAATCTTAGAGATGGTTTTGCCAGTTCCTTCCTGTGAAATAGAGCCTCCAGCATGTGGCATTTGTTGATGGAATCCCATCCAGGAACAAAACAGAGCTGATTATGCTTAGCTTCTAAGATTAGATGGGATTGGATGCCTTTAGTGTATTTAGGTTTAGCTAATATTGAGACAAGAAATATTTATGGTGTGTGTATGTGTTTGAGGGGGGGGGGACATGGGAACTTTGTGCTAAGACAATGCCCAACAATTTGGGATCTGAATAGCTGTCCCTTTCCTCTCTGCAAAGCCTGTTGTTTTTCATTACAGTAGTGCCACTCCATGTTGCACCCTTCTCCCCAAATCCAGACCCCTAATCCACGGTTCCAGGATTCTGGGGAAAAGGTGTTGATCAGTGGCCTCCTTTATGACCACGATGAACTCTTGCATTTCATGGCCTGCATCCTAAAACCTGCGCTCTAATTCCCTACCGCAACAAGATTTACACTTTCAATTTTATGTCTAGTTGGTTAATGGGCCATTACTGTCAGAAGGATCAGTAACTAGATGTTAAATCCTGCTAGATTTATGATAAGGAGGGAGCCAAAGATGCTGGCTGGAAAAAAGGAGAGATCAAGGGAACTTGTTGCAGGATTCCCCCCCTTTCTGAGGAAGAGGCCTCTTTGAGATTTGGCAAAGAATGATTGCTGAGGAAGGGGGAGGAATGTACCAAGTTCAAGAGGGAAGGCTGTATGCGGGTAAATTTACTCCAGGGTAGATCTTGCAGACTTTCGTTCCAAGTAGCAAGTTTGCAGGAAGGGACCAGAGCATGAGTTACATGCAACAGAGAAACCTGTAACTAGTTACTTCACCCCACCCCTCCCAAAGGTGGAGCAAAATTACATTTCTGAAGTAATTTAACCAGCGGAAACCAAGTTGCTGTGGTATGTGCATATGTGTGTCATGAGTAACAGTACTGTCTTATTCGTTAGTTATAAAGTAGTGGTGGCAACAGGCTTTTGCTATCAGCAGTGCCATGAATCTGCTTTGGGTTTTGGCCCAAATTTTAAAGGCCCTTTCCAAGGTTTTCCATCTATTTCACTGGTTCCCAGACTTGGTCTTCCAGATGTTTTTGAAGTCAGTTTGGAGAACTCCTGAGTCCTGGCCAAGGGGGCTGGGGCTTCTTGGAGGTGAAATCAGAACATCTGGAGGACCAACGTTTGGGAACCATTGAACTGTTTGGAGGGATAGGTTCAAACACCTTGGAGAACTGCTTTAATATTTAGACACAGCCTAACCCATCCTTGGGATTGGTAACCTTGGTTTCCCATACCCATGTCTGGAAAAAAGGTTGCTTTTAGGCATCTGGAGGTCCTCTAGTGCAACTCTATGGTCAATGTCCACCAGAGGTTGATCATAGAGCTGTACTGGAGGACCTCCAGATATCTAGAGAGATCTCTATAGGCAAATGGAGGTTATCCAGGATGACTCTATGGTCAGTATCCATCAGACATTGACCGGACCTCTAGATATCTAGAGAGAGGTCCTCCAGCATGCCTCTGTGATAAACTTCCACCCGCAAAATAGCGTTGACTGTTATCTTCGATTCTTACTGTACACAAAAAGTCTGGGAACATATCTGCTGTGGATAAGGGGGTTGGACTGTATTTTTAAAGTAGAGGCAGCTAGTGGCTTCCATGTCAGTAAGGCAATGATTCCACTCTGTGCTTTAGTCCAGATTTTAAAGGATATATCCAATAGCAACAGCTGTTATATTCAATATAATAGCTAATATATCCAATAGCTTGGATACCTCCAAGGTGCAGAACCTGTTT